CTTAAGCGGCCAAAGGTAGTTTACTTAGTAGAATTTTAAGATATTGCAAGTTTTTTTCAAGAGAATTTGGTACAAGTAATCGTCGGAAAGAGTTAGTGATTTGCGTCCTTTTAGTTATTATCTAATTTAAGTAGTCTGCTATATAGATGATTAACTATCTGTTAGTTCTACACTATGCTGCCATACCTGCAACCCACCTGTGAGTTACCTATTTAAACACTCTGATCATTAACTCTTTCCTCTATCCAAACTAATTTCACTCCTATATCTAACTACTTAAGCCAGCTGACTTACCTGGGAATCCATTTACTGCACGACTTAGGTTCTCTTGAGATGTGTATTGCCTAACGTATTGTGAGCACGCAGAGCTCCAGTTAACCTTGGAAGTGATTTCTACTAGTATGGTCATATGCCTATTTTACCGATTCACCTAAATTGAAACCTTGTCAATATTTATACAACCCTAGTTTCTACTATAGCTCTCCACCAGTTTTCAGTATCTATCTTCTTAGATGTTTCATAAGGCAGATCCTCTTAATCTAGTTAGCCACTGAGCCAAGTTAGTATTACCGATCCTCTCTGTGAAACAGATTTATACGTACCTGACTCGATTTGCATCTTTGATAATAGTTTCCTTTCTGAATTAAGCATAAGCTAGTATAACCATCAAAAGCTGTACTACTTCACCAACTTAGGATTTCTACCATGCAGGTCCTCTGCTCGATGAAAGTAACTTTTTATTATTTGCAATATAAATAGTATAAACAGATAATCTAATTGATAAATAGCTCAAATATTCCAACAATCTATATAGCAATAGATAAAAAAAATATAGTTATTTTAAAAACTTTTACTATTATGATAGCTAGTCCTATCTAGTTATATTTATAAAATTATTTAATAATTATTGATAATAGAAAAAATAAAATTTTTTTTTCAAATATAAAGATTTAGTGAAGTGAATGTTATTAAAATATTTCCTTTTTCAAATAAGCTATAGCTCATCATACAAAATTTTAAAAGTATCAATACAAATTAAATAAAATAAGTTTATTTACTAGCTGATGTTATTAAAATAATTGAATTCTTATTTAGAATATTTGCCAGTACAAATAGAATATATTAGATCCCAGTTCAGCTCTAACTTTTTTATCTGATTCTAATTATCGTATAAGAATAATAAAATTAAAATTTATCAAATAATTATTTATAATCTATCTTTAAAATTCAAGTCAATTTTTAACCTATATATATGATTAAAATAAATCAACAAAAAACCTGCAAAATTCATATAAAATAAATTATTCAGAAACAACTATTTAAAATAGATAATAAATAAATTTAAATTAAAGTTTATAAAAATAAACAAAAAAAATTTTATACTTATAAGACTAATATGAACTAAATAACCCAAAAAATACTATTTAAAAGTAAAATATTTATTTGAGTTATTACAGTTTGAAATAGAAGAATAAATATTATATCTGAAGCCAAAAATTAGGTCTCAAATCAAATATGAGTAACTATCAAGAAAACCTGTAACTATTATCACTATAGTGAATATTAATTATATATTATATAATACAATAATTACTATAGTGCTAACAGTTACGAGTTTTCTCTGAAGTTACTCATATATGAACTCTACAAAAACTTCATACTCTTTTATTAATAAACCTAATTATAAATTCTAACTTAATTCAAAAAGCTACAATTGCTCTAAAAAATCTTAATTCGTAATTTGCTGATCATGTATAGATTATGTATATAGACAGTATATAAAATTTCTGGATTAATAACCTTATATAACACTCTAATTTACTGTGAATCTCAAAAAACCCAACTAGTTCTGTACATCTAAAAGTTAATTTTGGCATAAGTTAGAATAGTACTAAATTACAATACAATAAAGTATAAGAAGAAAAGTAAGAAGGAAAGGAGCGTAAAGAAAAAAAGTATAAAGAAAGAGAGTGCAAAGAACAAGAGAAGAAAAAATGTATTAAAAAAATTGCATAAAACTGACAAAAGAGCATAAAAAGAAAGACCAGAAAGGAGAAACGGGAATGCATAGAGTATGAAGAAAAAGAATGCAGAACAAAAGAAGAAAAACATATCAAAAGGAGTACATAGAACTTGAAGAAAGAGAGCATAAAAAATGTGAAGAAAAGGAGCATAAAGAATATAGAGAAAGTGACATAAAAAATGTAAAGAAAGAGATGTAAAGAATGTAAAGAAAGAGATGTAAAGAATGTGAAGAAAGGGAACAAAAAGAAGAAGAAAAAGAAAGATTGGAAGGGAGAAACAGAAATGTAAAAAACTGGGGTGTAGAGAAAATGAAGAAAAAAAAAACCTATAAATAATATTGTGAAAGAAAGTCATATTACAATACATTACTATGACAAAATGATGTAAATTAGCAGTTATATTGGTTTCTAGTAGAACAATTGAACCTCACTTATATTATAGACTATTTTCTCGAAATTGGTGGTTTATTCCAACAACAAAAAGCAATAATGATATAAAAATAATATATCCTATTCGAGTTAGTATGAAAATACAAGTAGAAATAAATAGAAAAAAATTTATTACATGCATTTTAGAAGAAAATAAGTTTTATAAAAATCAACCTGGTTATCTTGCTATTGTAATTCTAGTTCTAGTAAAATTGAGGATAATCCAACAAAACGATTACCTCTTTATATAGACAAATTTTTAAAACTCAAAAAAAATTTCAGGTTCAATAATTATGGGCTTTGATAAAGAATCAATACTTGCTGGATTATTATATGATATAGAATTTTGTCCTTATTCAATTAGTATAGCCAATAAACTATCTGTTATAGTCTTTAGTTTAGGTATTTCTATGAAAGAAGGTTGGATGAATTTTGGAGAGGAATATATAGCTTCTTTTATTCATATTTTTAGAAAAGAGTGTTGTATATTTATTCAAAAATTTATAGAAAACAAATCTGTAGTAGAAATATGAAACAATAATATAAAAATTTTATATTATAAAGGCAGTTTACCTGTAGATGTTTGGCAAAAAATTGTAATAATGAAAAAATTCTGAGATACACAGCTATTTGGGCTTGAGTATACATATACACAATTTATATTACAACAATTATATATTCTTAAATGCCAACTATCTTAATAGAATAATGAAGAACTAATGAATAGTTTATTTAACTATCATCTTAAAAAGTGAACTATTGTTGGAATAAATTGGTTACAGTTGTTTAAAAGGTAGGAATCTAATAAGAATATTATTGAAATAAATACAGCGCTATCAAATTTGTATTCAAAAAATTAACAATTCATTGATCGTGAAATGCAAGCTTGGAATTTAATGCTTAAAGCAGCCAGATGCACTAACATAACACCTTTTAGTCAGGATATTTATGAAGTATATAGAATATAATTTATACTTTATAAATTTTATTTTTTTTATTAATAACTAATTATTTATACTATTATTTAAAATATAGTCTAAATTTTGGACGCGTTCTTCAAATCCAGAAATAGATAAAAAAACTTTAAAAGATCTTTACAATTCAGGATTCTTAAATCCATATAGTTTAAATACACAAAATTCTGTGCAGACTTTTTGGGATAGTTTTGCAGATAGTTTGGATGTAAATAAAAAAGGTCCTAATAGTATTTGACGAATTTTATCAATTATTGCATATAAGTTTAACTACAAAGAATTACAAAATAAACTCGCGGTTAGTATAATTATTATAATGTAATTATCTTTAATTTATATATGCGATAACTTGTTTGATTTTGCAGATTTCACTAACAACAATCAATATGGCTAAAAAATATGCTATTCTTAATGGTCCAGGAGGTCAACAAATTAACAAACCAAAAATAATAAGTAATTCACCTCTCACTAAAGAAATAGAATATCAATTTTAAGCTTTTTTCGTAGATAAAGCAAATGTTACTATAAGCTCATACAAAGTTGATCCAAAAACAGATCTTCTAATTCTTTATTTACTTGATTAAAAGGAATTATTGTGGAAAAGATTCTCAGAAATTTATCCCAATAGTATGAAAAGAACAATATTTATGGCATGAATTGAAGATGGTCTATATAGATATTGTGAAGATTTGGAAGGATTATGTTCAATTTATGCAAAGTATAGCTATAAAGTATTTGATAATTTAACTAAAATCATAACATTACATATTGAAAATAATTTAGTTCAAGTATGTAATTTTCTTATTTATTTTTTATTTATTCATATAATTATTATTTTTTAATAAAATAATAAGTTACAAATATAATTAATCAAATTTTTATTAATAGAATAAATTGTTATGAAATATAGAACTAATTAGACATTATATGAAAAGAAAGTATGTATATAAAATTGATATTGGAAGTAATAGTAATATTGAGCATAGTGAATATATTAATTACTGTTTACTTTATACATTTGGAGAGTGTATTAAATCATATACTATTAGGTATGATCAGTGTTCAAAGCTTTACTTATTTTTTACTGAATTTTAATCTATTATTCCAATAAATGAAAAACAACTTTTAGAAGATAAAAAAGAAAAACTACTTTACTATTTAGCATATCAAACATGTAAGGTATATCTTAATGCACAAGTTCAAGCCAATTTATTAAAATTAGATAGTGATAGAGCTATACTTGTTGTTGATTACAAAATATACATTTTACCAAAATCAGCACAAAAAACAAAGTTGGAATTTTTTGGAAAAAAAGGATGGACTCTGCACTCTATATTAATGTATACCAAATCACTAAATAATGAAAAACTAGATGTTACTACATTTGACCACTGGTCAGCAGATACAAAACAAAATACATCGTTTACTGCATTATCACTTCATGCAGTTTTTGATGATATGCCTAATAAGCTAAAATGAATTATATTAATCTCAAACAATGGACTACACTATCACAATAGTGAAATGATATTTATATTAGCATATTGGAAAGATTGGTATGACATTGAAATTAGAGGATAGATTTTTTTAGAAGCCAGAGAGGCAAAAACAGCTATTGATTCTCATCATGCGCAGGTTAGATCTAATAATATATTATAAATTATTAGTTTTTCAATTATATATAATACTAAATATTTATGTATTAGTACAGAGATTGTACATGCTATTAAAAAGTATATTAGAGTTAGATTCGAAATTAAAGAAGGTAGTGATATAGAAAATGCGATTAAAGATTTGCATGATACTTCAATAGGAGAACTAAATTTCACTTCTAATCATAAATTGTACAAACTCTTTCTAACGATTACTGAAACTGAAATAGAGTAAACAGAAAAATACTACAAGAAATAACCTCAACTACTGAGCAAGGAAAAAATATTGAACAGTGCGAGGAATAACGTCCTGAACTAGGCAGAGTATAGTCTTTGAACTATTATTGCTAGTTTTGTAAGTAGCCTACTGGAGCTTTGCTGCTGACCTTAGTAGGTCTTAGTTTTTTCTTAGCCTACTGGATAACTTGTAGAGATATTGTGAATAAACTCACTAAACTACTTGAACTGGGTCAAGTAGCAATATACTCCCTCTTCTGGCTTATGATTTTTGGTTCTACTTAGATAAACTCTCTATACCAAAGTTCTACAGTTTTTCCTTTTTTCTCTTTTTTCCATTTTTCTTTTTTGAAAAATGGGGAATTGGGTTTCTCCCTGTAAATGACGATCTTTGTTTATCTTTACCATTTTTGGATTATCATAGAGTAAGCAATCATGTAACAAATTGGTCTGTTTAGATATTTGTTGTGCTACACATAAGTAACCACGTGTATCTGGTCTCTGGAAAATACAGCTAAAGTACAGAACAGATTAATCGAAAGATAGAGCTTGGTTAGAAATTATATGAGATATACTTATATTGCTATAACATAATTTTTTATTCCTAATCCAGGCTAAAAGGCAACCCTTTTCTTTTTTGTTTTTGTTTATTTCTTTTTATTTCCTTTTTTATTACTTCTACATTAGTATTTTTTCCTGTAGCAAGTTTTTACTTATGTAGATGATAGTTATAGATTGTTGCTACTTAAATCTATGCAATTTTTATTTTCAGTTCTTATTGTTATAGTTAGGTTTCTTTTTATTTTTTCTTTAAGGTAGACTTTTAGGAGGGATAATTAGGAACTTGCTATTGCAGTCAGAACAGGCTATGAGTTTCATACCATTGATCTTTATTATCAAAGCATTAAAATATATGAGAGAGTAAAGGGAGAGGAATACTCATTATAGCAGGTTATTCACAGATCCATATGGAAACCAGAGAAGCTACACTTTAGAAAACTGAAAACACTGCTGTGTATAAGGCTTATGATTAGTCCTTAGTTGGTTTTTGTTTTACAAAAATTATAAATAAAGTTGTGGCCTGACTGCTGAATTTAAAAAAAAAATAGGAGAACTAAATTCTACTGTGAAAAATTAGATAATAAAATAAAATCATTAGTTAGAATATCTAATTTGAATGAATAGAAATAGCCAATAGATAGACCATTTGCTAGTTTTATACAAGCATGTTCTTTGCTAAATATAGGTAGTTTTATCAATTATTCTCCTGCACAAATAGAAAAATCTTTAAAAATACAAGTGATGAAACCAAATCCTATAACTTCTACACCTTCAGTACCTCAATTTTCATGAACTATACCTATACCAAATTCTAGTAACTTATTTTTAAATTTGTGTAATATTAGTTTTATAAACTAAATAATTACTAAATTTTTTAATATAGATATTAATTCTAAGTGTGCAAGAATAAATCCATGTTTATATAATAAAATTATTGATACAGAAAATAATTTTATATAAAAAATCTATTTTATTTTTTATTTATTGTAAATTGAATACAAAATAACTAGAGTTTATCTTTATATTTAGTATCAACATAGGATTTCAACTTGTATCTGAATGGGTATTAAAAGCTAACCAAAAATTTGAAAAATGAGGTAAAGTAAAATTATCAAAAAAGATCATTACATTGTTGCAAGATTTTTTTCATACAGGTAATGCTAACAAAAGTGACTATTATACAGCTAGTGATATGTTATCAGAGTTTATTAATTTAGCAAATAACAGGAAGTTAGATTATGAAATAATACCAAAAGTAAAAGTAATTAAAGGTTGGATTAGCAGATATTCTGCAGCATGTAAACGTGAAATAGCAGTTATAATAATAAAGTATCAAGAAAAAAATTAGCAATAATAGTTAAATAAAATATTATATATTTGTGAAGTATTTTATTTAATTCTAATTTTATTGCAATAAAAAACTTTAAAAATAAGATAAATTTCAAAATAAATTATGTGTATTAGTATTTTTACTTTTAGCAAATTAAAAATAGACTAAATTTATTTCTTAACTTTTAAAAATAAAATTGCTATAAATCTATATATGTATTATTGTCAGAATCTGCAGATGTCTTAAGTAAAATGCAAGACTAAGCAAATAATATATTTATTTTTTTTAAATATTTATAATATTATTCTTTTCATTATTTAGAGTTATAAATTTTAACATGTTTAAACTATTTTAGAAGAATTTTTACTAGTATTTTATTTTTAGTATTTTGATTATTATGTGTATATATAGTGATCATCTTCCTAGAAATTAATTATAAAAATACTACATATGATCAATGAATTACAAATTAAATTTTAAGTTAAAATAAGTCTTTCTAGCTTCACCATAAAAAAACAAATCTTATGCTCACCAAATAAATATAAATTAAATGATGAGATAAGTACTATTAAGATAAGAATTAACAGTTTAAATTACAAATTATAAAATTTTAATCGAATAACAAATTTTTTTTTTTTTTTTTTTACTTTATACAAATGCTATCAGCTAACTTTTATTATTTCATAAATTTCAGAAGTAATACATATTGTGAGAATACAACTAGCTATATGTACAATTTTAGATTGTTTATTTTAAGTAGTCTGCCTGAAGGTTTTATACTAGCTACTATATTTGAAATCTCTTAGAAGATTCCCTATTTAAACTCTCTAGTTTTATCTCATTTACTGAAAGTATTACTCTTATAGTTAACTCTAACCCTGTATTACTTCACATTGGGAGGCACCCAAGCTGACATAAGTTGCAAACTTTACTATTATAGGCCCAGGTCTTATCTGTATAAGTCCCACTTTAATACCTCCTAACAGATAGGTATCATGATACCCAACTATACTATGCTATATCCCTATTCTAGCTTGCATATACCCTTATTCAATATTCGTACAAACCCAGTTCAAGCTGTGGCCCTCTACTAGTTTAGACTTCTGTGTTCTTCTGAATGTTCACAAAGCAGATCTTCCTAATCTAGTTAGCTACCAAGCCAAGTTGGTATTGCTATAACATCTAATGTTACAGACTTACTCACATCTACTCGATCTATATCTTTATACTCAGAAATCTTTGTCAGATCAAATGTTAACTAGTATGATCATTGAAATCTGTAATACTTCATCTAACTCAGAATTTCTACTATGCAAGTCCTCTGCTTGTAGATTCTATCTCAATTTATTTGTATAATATAACTCCAACATTCTGTCATACTTCCAATATCCGAACAATATTAGTGCAACGTGATTTACAGGGTTACAACTCCAGAAACAAACAGAGTTTACTATAAGTTGGGTACAAGGTTTGAGTAATTATTCAAAGTGTCAACAGAAGGATTTAAACCTCAAATCTATTGCATAGCGATCTGACAACCTATCCACTATACTAGATCACCAGACCTTGAATAACAATTTAATTTTTATACTTTACTAAATTAATATAAATTATATAACTCAGTAAGTAACTTAAAAAGTGCTATTTAAAAAAAAAAGCTTAGAAGCTTTATTTTTAAAATATTAAATAAATAATAAAGATCTTAATGCATACT